CCCACCCTCCAAAATATTAACTTGCAAATATTTTATACTGAATACAATTTTGTTCTCTAACTGCAATACAGTACATATGTTTATCTTTATGGATGACTCTTGATGGCGTATGGAAGATGGTGATGAGGGGGGAGGAGGAGAGGTGTTACTGTTTGGAAGGGGAGTCCCCTTCCATTATAACATCAGGCAGTGATGACTTTTCTGGGATACACTCTGGCATGTTTTGCCTGCATACCACTAGGACCTGCTTGCTTGTCTTACTAAGAATCTGTCTAAAAACACTTCTTTTTCCCTACATTTTAACACTTATCTGTAGTAAGACATCACATTGTCATTTAATAGGTCAATGCAACGGCCTGCTACAGCTTTATCTGGGTGAGTTTTTTTTAACAAAACTTTGCAGTTCTTCCCATACTTCACACATTTTCTTAATGAGGAAGGGATATCCTCTACTGCCTCAACTCACAACTATTTTCTTGGGTTGAACCTTACCACTGACTTTCTAGGACCCATGGCATGATATATAATAATCAGTTTTATGTTCAAAAAAACAAAAAAAACACAAAAACGGAATTTCTTATAGGCGTGATCGTCACTAAGCGGGCAGCTCTACTAAACTAAGGCAGGTTGGCCTGATCGGGAACCACGTGCTTGGCCAACCCAAACTCGTACCAACAAATATCATTAGTCAATGACACTATCGTAAGTCGAGTTGCATTTTTCTATCAAATTTACATTGCAACTCGAAATTATCGTAAGTCGGGGCAATCGTAAGTAGAGATGCCACTGTACGCATCTTTCTACATTCCCATTCATGCAGTCATCAGGTGGATATAACTTCATGCAAACTGCACATATTGCGAAGAAGAATGAACATGTAGAACATTATGGGATTTTTAGGGTCCCAGTAGTACAGTCGGGTTCGTTCTTAACTCGCAATCGAGAATTCTGGGTTCAAATTGCAGGCAGGACGGAAATAGTTGGGTGCATTTCCTGTTACCTAATGCGCCTGTTCACTTAACAGCAAGTAGGCACCCAGGAGTGAGTTAGCTTGTGGGGTTGCATCCTAGGGGGTGATGAGTCAGTAATTCGACCCTTTAGGGGGGAGGAGGGACCTTGATATAAGCCTAACGTGTAAATTTTTTATTATATTTAACATAATACACTTATCGGCAAGCATTTTTAAGAGGTTTTAGCCTTTTTCGTAAGCCTGAGCTGTCATTTGCTTACAATGTCACTGTTCATATTCACACCAAAGTATTTGTATTGCCTGCAGTTTTTGATGCGCTGATCATTGACTTTAAAAAAGCCTTTTTTGGCGGCAAGGGGGGGGGGGTCCTAGTTTTCCTGTGGAAACAATAAGCGCACATTCAATACATCTACAGTATTTACAAGCATATCAAGGAGAGTCTGCAGCTGGTTACCACTTTTGCTGGTGGCTGTTGATTATATTTGAAGGATACTTGGTTTGAGAATAGATTCTACACCACGTCTTTGGAATACATCCATTAGATTAGTTATCTAGATAAATGTTAGTCAGAGATGAGAAGAACAGAAGATATACAAAGACATAGCAGATTTCCTTTTCTAAGCAATGTGCGACATAATGTCACTTCAACTAGTGAAACAGAAAGGTACTCAGCTGTCAGGTGACTGATGATCGATTACCGATTGATTACCCAGAGGACTTGAATACCAATTTCTCGACTGAGCTTCACCAGTTTCACTAGTAGATAGTCATAGTTCAGTGCAGCAAAAAATGTAAAATGTAAAAAAAAAAAAGTCATGCTTAGTACTGGCTTCTACAATTATTTTATAGTGTGCCTTCCAGTTGTAGACATTTGCTTTTGTACATTTTTTACATTAATAGTCACAAATTGCTCAGCCGAGTGTTTATATTCCAAGTTGAAGTATTGTATATCACAAATTCAAACAGAAAAACTATGCAACAATGCATGCTGGATGCCATATATCCACTAAGTATGGAAGCAGGTGTATTACATAAGATTAGTTTTGAGGATCTGCTCAAAAATTTTGAAAAGTTTTCTCCCCTTTTTTATAATATAAAGTGGAAGTATACAAAAATAAACATTATTTTCCATCTTGCATTAATTTTATTTAGTGTTAAACTGTAAAAATAAAAATTATATTTTTAATTAAGATTTTGGTGCTCCCAAACACATTTAAGTGCTTAGGGCCTCCTAAGGTTTTAATCCGTCCCTGCTGTCTTATGGGCTCACCATAGCCCATGCTACATGGACATTTCGTTCCGAGTAGCTAAATCTAAAACAATAATAATCCTGCTGACGCCACGTAGCAGTAAGTTAGCCTGTCGTGATACTAGTGATTAACATAACTCCTGTTGGTAGTTTTTTCGATGATTAAGATTATTTCGAATGGGTGTGAGCGTAGATAAATGACATCTTTAGACGTCATTTATCTACAGTGGTACCTTGGAACACGAGTGTCCCTGCATGCGAGTTTTTCGGAATACGAGCAGGATTTCCTCGGAAAATATGTCTCGGAAGGCGAGGGTTACCTCGGGACGCGCGTTTGTCGATACGCATTCAGGCCGACCTAGCGCGTGGTGGTTCAGCGATCATCGCCCCTCAGTTTACCATTGTCTCGCGCCCAGTGACTATCTCACATCAATTCTTCACCCGGATTTTCAGTGTTTTGTTGGATTTTTGGTCATTTGACTATACAATTTGTTATTATATATCTCGCCATGGGTCCCAAGAAAGCCAGTGGTAAGGATCAAGGCCAGAAAGCCCATGTGAGGATGACAATAGAGGAGAAACAAGAGATCATTCGGAAGCATGAGAACGGTACACGTGTTATTGAACTTTGTAGGCAGTACAACAAAGCCACATCAACAATATGCACTATACTTAAGAAGAAAAATGATATTATGGGTGCTAAAGTGGCAAAAGGAGTAAGAACAATAACGAAACAAAGACCACAAATACTTGAAGTGGAAAAGTTATTAATTTGGATACACGACAAGGAGTTAAGGGGTGATAGTGTTTCGGAGGCCATTATTTGTGAGAAAGCCAGGGTATTGCACGAAGACTTTATAAAGAATACCCCTGCAACGAGTGATGCAGATACGAAAGAGTTTAAGGCAAGCAGGGGCTGGTTTGAAAAATTTAGAAGTGGTATCCATAGTGTTACAAGGCATGGGGAGGCAGCCAGCTCAGACAAACCAGCCGCTGGACGATTTATTGAGGAATTTAAAGAGTTTGCAGAGGCTGAGGGATACCTACCGCAACAAGTGTTTAATTGTGATGAAACGGGACTGTTTTGGAAAAGAATGCCTTAGAGGACATACATTACCAAGGAGGAAAAATCCTTGCCCGGACACAAGCCTATGAAAGATAGGTTTACGCTTGTGCTGTGTTCAAATGCGAGTGGTGATTTGAAAATTAAACCCTTGCTAGTGTATCATTCTGAAAATCCAAGGGTTTTCAAACAGTATAAAGTGCAGAAAACCCATTTGTGTGTGATGTGGAAGGCTAATAAAAAAGCATGGGTGACTAGGCTTATTTTTTTGGAATGGGTGAATGAAGTGCTGTGCCCTGCCATAGAAAAATATCTGCAGGAGAAATATTTGCCACTCAAAGCCGTGCTTCTCGAAAATGCTCCTGCTCATCCTCCAGGCTTGGAAGATGATTTGTTGCCCAGATACAATAAATTCCTCACAGTTGAATTCGTTCCTCCTAACACCACTCCTCTAATTCAGCCTATGGACCAGAAAATCATAGCGAATTTTAAGAAACTTTATGAAAGGGCATTTTTCCGGAAATGTTTTGAAGTGACTGAAGCCACAAATCTCACCCTCAAAGAGTTCTGGAAACACCATTTTAACATTTGTAGTGCTTTAAAACTCGTTGACAAAGCCTGGCAAGAAGTGACTCAAAGAACCCTGATCTCTGGCTGGAGAAAATTGTGGCCTGAATGTGTGAGAGAACTAGACTTTGAGGGGTTTGAGCCTGTAAATGATGCGCCTATTGTTGAGGAAATTTTTAGTCTAGGCCAGCAAATGGGCTTGGAATTGGATGGTGATGATGTGGAAGAGTTGGTGGAAGAACACAACGAAGAACTGACCACCGAAGAACTCCAAGCCCTTCAACAGGAACAGCAAGACAACGCAGCGGATGATTCTACAGTGGAGGAGAATGAGGCAGTAGCGAATGTCCCTTCTGCAGTAATTAAGGTGGTGTCAGATGCGGGAAGAGATTCAAACAATTGTTGAAAAGACTCGCCCAGAGAAAGCTGTAGTAGGCCGTTGCCTTAATCTTTTCAATGACAATATGATGCCTTACTACAGAGACAGCTTGCGAAGAAGGGAAAAGCAAGCTTCCATGGACAGATTTGTGGTGAGAAAATAGAGCAGTGAGCCTCAACCAGGACCTAGTGGCACTCAGATAAAACGTGCCAGGGAGAGCACACCAGAAAGGTCCTCACTGCCTGATGTGATAATGGAAGGGGACTCCCTTTCCAAACAGTAACTCCTCTCCTCCTTCCCCTCCTCACCATCTTCCATACGCCTACAGCATTCAACAACAAGGGTAAGTAATAACTTGAACATAGTTTTGTAGGTTTATTTAGATAAATTAGGTATAAAAATTGTTTGATGTGGGGTTTTTGGGGTAGTCTGGAACGGATTAATTCATTTCCCATTATTTCTTATTGGGAATTAGCTTCGGAATAAGAGTTTTTGGAATACGAGCCGTCTCCAGGAACGAATTAAACTATTAAACTGAGGTACCCCTGTACGCTCACCCGGCAGAGATTTGAAAAGATTCCCCTCTGTGCTGGTGCTAGACGTCGACTTGCCCCAACTATGCAAGCACCTGTCTGTAGTACCAACATGGCCCTGTTTAATGAAATGAAGTGCCATGCTCAGAGATGCTTTTCATCTACGGTATACTCGAAAGGTTCAAGACGAATATCGATGTCATCTGGTACACCTGGCAAAAGGTTTATGAAAGGTTATGAAGAAATAATTCCATTTTATTTAACACTCTTCTATAGGTTACAAATTTTTGTATTGTACAGGAATATTACTATTGAAACACAATAATTGTTCATATGTACACAAATCATATGGTTCGTTGTTTGAATGATAACATAACTTTAAAATCCTTAACCTGAAATGTTGTAATTTAGACTAGTCAACTTGAAACGGACCAACAGACTAACAGGCTGAACGAGCGAGGACAACATTTAATGACTGGATAACAATACTGACACAACAGGTAATTTGCTCCATGGTTCTGCTGTACCCTCTCAGCCAGAGAGAGTCCAAACTGCATGCACACAAGGCTCACAAAACATTGGACCTTCAGCAACAACTGACCACAACTTCTCGTCGCACTGCTGAACTTTTCGTAACCCTAGATGCCCACAGATGGTAAATTCTATGCAGCAGAAGATGAAGGAAATAAAGTACTGTACAATAATAATTTTATGTACAAATTAGCAAAGATGCTTTAATAACAAAATTCTTTTAGAATTTAATTGCAAGTGAGAAGGTTGCAATTTAGATCTTTGAATTTAATACACATTGTAATAGAGAAGGCACTTTTTAATGCAATTGAGAATTCAATACTGACAGTTACATTGTGCTTTTAGTTTCTACACCTTAAGAACTGCTTCCAGTTCAGTATTACATAACTGTACATGAAGTAAACGCTGGTGGAAAAACAGACTTGTGCATCAAAGCATATGACTAAAAGTCCCTTTTATATATAGACACAAATGTTAAAATCACAAACCAAAAATCATCTTTAGAGTATCTATTTCGGAGACTGAGAATGTTACTTCTCGGGGAAAATCAACAGGCAAGTAGATTGGTCAAGATCCAGCACAGGTAATGGTATTTACCATTTCCTTCCCATCCCCCCCCCCCCTTTATCTGGCTCGTCAAATACACGACTAATTATCAGTATGAACATTTGAGCATAAACATGATTTCAGCATTGATTATTATTATTTAAAGACTTCAGTGTCCCACTACAGCAGAGCCTGAGCGTGGAAGCTTCCTTACACAAGCAATGTTTAGCTCTAAAATTAAGTAATTTATCTAATATTTCCTAGCATAAAATGCTTCATTTGCTATGGGTCTAATAGAAGTGTCTTTTCTTCAGTGGATGAGACACAGCAATGATTCTCGTGAATATGAAAAAGAAAAATATTCCTCACAAACCACAAAACTTTTAAATTTATTTAGTCCCTACCCATGACATGAATACAAAAAACAACCATGGGTTTACAACAATTAAAACATCTATTGGGTAAACAACCTGTAGTTTTAAATTTCACAATCAATAATTGAACGGCATCAAAGGAAAGAAATTATAAAAAAAAACTAAAAAAAAAAAAAACATGCATTTCAGAAGTGTGTAGAAACAATAAATATCTGAAAGGCAAACTTGGGCTATACAACACTTTTTCATAATTACTCCATGATTCATGTGATGCAAAAATATTTTGATATAATAATGTTCCAACATCCATACTTCTACACTAAGAACGGCATAAAATCTCTTCTCGCATAAAGACGCCACTTTTGCCCAACCATCCAACTTTCCACACTATTTTTTTTCCATTATGCAAGTTTGTCAAATGACAAAGAAAATTTGTAAGACTTGTACATAGAACACACAAGAGAGTTCATTGGATGACTTCTCACAGGAAAGAACCTTTTTGGCTGTGGAACATTTTCTTGTTGCTTGTCACCATTCACTTGTTGATATTCGTAAGTAACACTGCAAGAGCACATCCCGTAAAAGTATTCATAGCAAGTGTGAGTGAGGGAGAGTTGCTTTTCAGAGCATTCAAGGGAATTCAGAAAATAATTTATATAGTTCAATTAACACATGTTTTCAGATATGACTTAACACAGAGGCTGTCAAGTTATTTTTTAAAATGTATTAACCATGTGGTAGGTTGTAAAGTGGCTAACCACAAATTTCATCTTCAAAAATTCACTAAAACAATGGCATTCAACAGAGCTAAATATAAATGCATCTTCAGAAGTGATCGACTAAAACAGACACGCAGTTGGCACCTATGTGAGAGGTGTGCGGTGCATCGGCCAGAGACATGTTGGTCCACTGTGCTGGCTGGCCTGTGGGTGTATCTGAGGACTTGAGGGCAAAACTCCAAGTATTAGGAGATACAGAGGCTGCATGAGGAAGTCGCAGTTCTACTGGTCGTGCAAACTGCAACCCATGGGGACCACACATCACTAGAGGACTAAGAAGGGTCTCACCTGTAAAGTCGTTATAGTAAAGGTATTAATTTGAGATTATTTCCAATATAAAAACAACTCATAGCTGAACAAGTTACATTAATCAAAGTAGATACTGTTAGAAATAACACGCATGGTTATTAGCTACCATTCATAATTACTGTAAGAATATTTAAATTTTGCATAATTATATTAAGCATTTTGAGGGGCTATAAATAATAAAATAATATACCTGTATTATACCTCCAGCTATTATAACTAATGTAAATTACATTTACTAAAGTAGTGTTTTTCATGGTATGAAATAATAAAAAATGGGGAATATACCGTATTGATAATTATACAAATTTTATATTCAACTGCATGTAAATTTCACAATTAAATGTTGAACAATATTAATACAACTATTTACAAATTCTCGTCATTTCATATCATTTCAGACTAAAAACATTTTGAAATAGCTACCCCATTTCCTCGTTAGTAAAAACTCAATTTTTATCAATCTTGGCTTTTAATCGGCAAGGTTTTTGTTCTTATCTATGTCAGTGATCATTAAAAAGTGTATACTCATTGTCTCTCTACAAATAAACGTTGTTCACTATGCATTTGGAAACTGTTGAATGAAATTCAACCCAACTTTGTATGGTATCCCTATTTGACCCAAAGTCATAAGCTATATGGGGATTCCAGCTCCTGGGCTCTGCTTTAAATGGTGATCATTTAAATTCAACAACTACATTCAAAGGTTTCCTTGATAAGTGCTTCATTCACTTACCAGTGTTATGTAAATAATTTACAATGCTGTAAAGGGTTCAAATGCTTAGCCCTAGCCTTTTTAGTGATCGTTTATTTGCTCATAACAGTGGCTATATTTATAACTTTAGCAACAGTCTCCCACAACACAAGCCATCTTCAGGGGCCACAGGGAGGTTCTCACAACCCACAAATTTCAAGGTTTGGGGAGAGGCAAGGGAACAAGGACAGCTGGGTTTAATAGTATTTAATATATAAATCATGCATAAGGAGGATGGGTACTATTATAACTGTACCTCACAAAATTTGGATTCTGGAAGAATTCTGGAAAGGTTGGCTACAATAATGAAGCAGCTTTGATGCAAAATGCATGTAGTGAAGCTGTGGGCCCCCATTCTACACTTTATCAATGTTAGGTAAACCGGGGAGCCGAGCGGACAGCACGCTGGACTTGTGATCCTGTGGTCCTGGGTTCGATCCCAGGCGCCGGCGAGAAACAATGGGCAGAGTTTCTTTCACCCTATGCCCCTGTTCCCTAGCAGTAAATAGGTACCTGGGTGTTAGTCAGCTGTCACGGGCTGCTTCCTGGGGGTGGACGCCTGGTCGAGGACCGGGCCGCGGGGACACTAAAGCCCCAAAATCATCTCAAGATAATCTCAAGATAGGTCCCTCAGTTATACTGTACTATTTACCCTAAAGATGTGGCTATCAAGATTGTCATCTTGCTTGTGACACCCTCTAACACTTCCCAAATGTCTTTGCTGGTTTGGTAGAAGGGAGCCAAGTGGCAAGGTTGTCTTTTGAAGGCAAGTGTGATAGTTGACACAGTGCTATGGGAGTATAGGATTCATGTTCACCTTGGATGTTTTTGTGTGTTGAATAACTCTATTTATGCGCATGTATTGCCTGTAAATGTATTTAGCTTTCAGCTTTGAATATATTCAGGGCTCCAGCTTCTCCTCATAGTGCTTGTGTTTTACGTTAAGAAAGTTATTTAATGTGTGTACGTACATACTAAAAGTACAAGAACTTAGAGCAGTAACTGATTGGCTATCCATAAATTGTCTGAGCCAAGACATGCATAATGTGACAAATTACCAAAATTTGCATCTTGTGATGCAAAACATGAAGATAATGGGCTAGATAAATGGTTATAAATTGTCAACATTTTTATAAAGCCATAAACTCTGCATTTTTGTGCACCTGGTCAGTTACACGGTTTGAGTCCCAAAATAATATCAAAGACTTAACACTATCGCACTCTTCGAACGCCCCCGGGAGTTCACAATTTTCCTCATGAGTCGGAGTCGTGGACGCGAGTGGCGTCCATCATTTTAAAATATTTGTTAAAAGTTTAAATTTTATTCGATCAATCTAGGAGTGGTTTTAAAATGAGCACCTTTAGATTGCGCACAATTTGATACCAAAATGAAAGATGTAACACAAAAATTGATGTCAGAACACTGGAAAGATTATAAATACTTTTTTTGTTCCAAATTTTAAAATATTTGTTAAAATTCTATTTATTGCTCTATTAATATGGGGCCAGTTTTAAAATACGTACCTTTATATTGCGAACAATTTGATACCAAAATAAAAGACGTAACACGAAAATTGATGTTATCAAACTGAGCGAGTATACACATTAGGTTGCGGTATGCCAATTGGTGCTCGTTCACGGGTAACTTTAGGCTTTTCTGCGGGGAGTCACGCCGGGCTTTTGGACATCATGTTCATATACACCTGCAGGGAATTTAGTTGCGAACACACTAATACTGTACTGAAACGAACGACATAGCATGATAATTAAGGTGAGAAAACTGAAATGAGTATACACATTTTACTGATTTTGTGCGCTCACGGGTATCTTTTGCAAACTTTAGGCTTTGCTGTGGGGAGTCATGCCAGGCTTTTGGACATTATATGCATATAAACCTGTAGGGAATTCTCTTGCGAACACAATACCAAAACGAACGACGTAGCACGTGAATTAAGGTGAGAAAACTGAAGAGAGTATACACATTTCAGTGTCACAGCACGCTTGCCCGCACTGCCAGTAGCCCATGCATATCTGCGGAGCGCACGCTCCGCGTGCGATGGTGTTAAGTGTTTTATTAATCTTTCAGGCTTGAGACACTAATATTGAGATAAAAACAAAAATGAGGACATTAAGAGCTGTAACAGTGATTTTCAATATCAAAGCACAACAGAAAATGTGTGTAGAACCAAATATTTTTTTTTTTAATATTTGAATATTAAACATAACAAAATGCCACTTAGTAGCCCCCCTGAGCCATGACATTGGGACCATGATGCCTTAGGAAATTGCAAGAGTGAGGAAAGGGGGAAAAGATCACAAATAGGCCCAAAGAGTGAGCGTAGAGGGGAAGATTAGGTATCACAAATAGACCCAAAGTTGAGAAAGCCATAAAAAATTATTAGCACATAAAGACAGGCAACTGCTTGAAGGAAACTAATAAGAGAAAAACAGGGCAAACAATTGTTGCTACAGGGTATACACCTCAACTGTAATACACCTGAATGACATTAGATGACTCCAGCCTTCATCTAAGGTCCCAACCAGTTGACCACCTCATTCATGAACCACCTAAATGAACACAAACCCTCATCTCGTATTCACAGGAAAGGAGGACATATGGCAGGTACATGATGCTACTCGGTGGCCTACCAGAAAGGTTTAATTACATTCAACACTTGATTTCTGGGAGGCCCTCTCCTCAGTAACTCCTCAAAATATAATTCGGTAAAAAGATGTACAGTACCGGACTTGCCAGCGAGATGACGATGGAAAGAGGCCTGTGGCAAAACGGGGACATCATCGCACAGGTGATGGAAACGCGGTTTAAAATCTTAATGTGTAAAGATTGGTGGCGAGAGCTTCAGACTATCAATATAGGTTTGTTGATCTCACTATGAGATGCTTAGACTCGGAAAGGAAAGAGAATTGGAACAGGATACAAGGATTGGGAACAAAGGCTGAACAGACTACATTTGAGTTAGGAGGACAATGGCCTACAAGTCTCCAACCTGACCACTGTGGGAAGGAGCTGAAATGGAGGGATGAGGTAAAGGTAAGACTTTTACCTCATCCTTCCAAGTAAAGTGAGAGACTCGAGAGCCTTCCAACCCAAAAATGACACAATGTACACCAGCAGTCACCAAATCCATGCATAGGTTATCTTGAGATGATTTGATTTCTTGAGTTAAATAGGTAAACAAGATGCAAGGAAAGCAAGCTCCATCTACTAACCAATCTATCAAGAATGGAAACGGGAGGAAGGGGAATAGTCATAGGACACTTGACAATGAATGGGATCTGCCTGGACGACTAAATCCCGAGAAGTCAGAAGCAAGACAATCTAAATTACAACCTCCAAAGGAGAGGGGAATTAACTTGAACCCCCCCCATTGAGGTAATGGACCACTGGCATCCAGTGCAAAAGATGAACAGCAGACCCCCCCCCCCCCCCTCTGTAGAAGAAGGATGCAGTGAAGTGCTTTCCAGAACATCCATCCCTGAATGGAGTAGTGAGAGCTCCACAACAAAGGTCCAAGACATCCGTTAACATCTCGGTCACTTGAGGAGGGCTTCACAGAACTAAACTTAAAAAAAATCCAGGATGAAAATGACAACTAAAATCCTTCAAGAGGCAGGGCATACACCACACAGTCCCAAAAGAAGTGAAGACAACCATTGGAAAATACAGTATAATGCCTTCGTTCAGAGACAGCCCTGAGGATAAACCATGCAGGTGAAGCTTAGGCTTCCCAAGGTCCCAATGGCGAGACCTTCCCCAGTACCAGCTGGTAACAAAGGTGCAACTGCTCAACAGTTGACTGTGGCAGAGAGGGCAGGACTATCCTAATATCCCAGATCAGGCCTAAAAAAGTTTGGATCTGAAAACAAACACCAACTAGGAAAGCACCATATCCCTGGTCAGAAAAGTCAGAAGACTGGAAGCTCTGGCCAATCAGTCACCAATGTAGTCCAGAACACAGATACCAAACAGACGAAGATGTTGAAGGGCCACTTAAATCTCGTAAATTTCTGGGAACCACACTAGGTCCAAAAGGCAGAGCTTAAAGCGGTAAGAGAGGTGTTTCAGTCTGAACTCCTGTACTCTGTAAAGTCGTGGGTGGATGAGCATGTGTCAATAGATGCCTTGAAGATCCAACAAAATGAGCAAAGTCGCTCAAAACTACCTAGTATACAAGACGTGCCTGCACACAAGAGTCTACCACTGGAC